AATACGGCAGCGACCTGCGTCAGACGGACTCCACCGCCGTCGCGGGGTCACAGTACTCTAGAGTTTACGGGCCCAGAGCTGGTAGAAGAGGATCAGTATCACCCCCACCAGCAGCAGCAGCAGCAGCAGCAGCAGGTGTAGAGAGAGGAGGAACAGCAGGCGTAGCCAGAGAAGCAGCAGCAGCAGAAGGAGCAGGTGTAGGGAGAGGAGGAACAGGAGCAGGTGTAATCAGAGAAGGAGCAGGTGTAGGGAGAGGAGGAGGAGGAGGAAGAGAGAGTCCTTAGGCGACGTTTGGCGGTCACACAAACTAGAGAGGTGGCGTCAGGTGGCTGTGATGCACTAACGCCAGGGTTGGGCCAATTCTGGCGGGTTTTAACCGGATTACTTTGTTTGGGCGTGTTGGGGTTCGCATGGGACGATTTTGACCGTATATGGGGAGGTTTTGGTGCCTTAGGTGGGTAGCTAGCGTAGTGTTACCGGCATACAAGGTGAATTTCTTGCACTTGATGAGCCTGTTTCTGACGTTTAGACAAAGCATTGGGCCTGTTAACAGGGCTTTGGTTCATTCTTGTGCTTTGCAGGTTCTGTTGACTGGCTTTGTGTCCTGGTTGATACCTGGTTGATGGGGTTCTGGGAGTTCTTCTACTCCCCAAGCCCGGCCCGAGGCCAGGCTCGACTTGTGAGAGTTTGGTCCACCAGGCTGTTGCTTGGAGCGGCCCGCAGGGCCACGTACCCACCACAGCCCGGCTGATCCGGAACTTCTCTTAGAAAACCGTCCAGTTTTCTCTTGAAGATGTCCACGGTTGTTCCGGCAATATTTCTTATGCTCGCTGGGAGGACGTTGAACAACCGCGGACCCCTGATGTTTATACAGTGCTCTCTGATTGTGCCTATGACACCTCTGCTCTTCACAGGTTCAATCTTGCATTTTCTTCCATATCGTTCACTCCAGTACGTTGTTATTTTACTGTGTAGATTTGGGACCTGACCCTCCAGTATTTTCCAGGTGTATATTATTTGGTATCTCTCTCGTCTCCTTTCTAGAGAGTACATTTGGAGAGCTTTGAGACGATCCCAATAATTTAGGTGTTTTATCTCGTCTATGCGTGCCGTATATGTTCTCTGTATTCCCTCTATTTCAGCAATCTCTCCTGCTCTGAAGGGGGAAGTGAGTACTGAGCAGTACTCGAGACGGGACAGCACAAGTGACTTGAAGAGTACAACCATTGTGATGGGATCCCTGGATTTGAAAGTTCTCGTAATCCATCCGATCATTTTTCTGGCTGACGCGATATTTGCTTGGTTATGCTCCCTAAACGTTAGATCGTCGGACATCATTATTCCCAAATCCTTGACATGCTGTTTTCCTACTATGGGAAGATTCGATTGTGTTTTGTACCCTGTATTATGTTTCAGATCCTCATTTTTGCCGTACCTGAGTACCTGAAATTTATCACTGTTAAACATCATGTTATTTTCTGCTGCCCAATCAAAAACTTTGTTGACATCTGCTTGTAGTTTTTCAATGTCTTCAGCAGAGGTAATTTTCATGCTGATTTTTGTGTCATCTGCAAAGGACGACACGAAGCTGTGGCGTGTATTTTTGTCTATATCAGATATGAGAATAAGGAACAGTAGCGGTGCAAGGACTGTACCTTGAGGTACAGAGCTTTTAACATCGCTTGGACTCGATTTTATCTGATTGACTGTTACTCTTTGTGTTCTGTTCGACAGGAAATTGAGTATCCAGCGTCCTACTTTTCCAGTTATTTCTTACAGTGTCTTACAACGGCGTGGTGTAGATGTTTGTTCTAACACGCAGGCTTTGTGTTGCCTAGACCCGGGTGCTGGCCATAGCTTTAGAGCTATCTTGAGGTTATCTTGAGTTGATTTCGGGGTTTTGTTTTTAGTGTCCCCGCGGCCCGGTCCTCGACCAGGCCTCCACCCCCAGGAAGCAACCCGTGACAGCTGACTAACTCCCAGGTACCTATTTACTGCTAGGTAACAGGGGCATAGGGTGAAAGAAACTCTGCCCATCGTTTCTCGCTGGCGCCCAGGATCGAACCCGGGACCACAGGATCACAAGTCCAGTGTGCTGTCCGTTCGGCCGACCAGTTCCCTAGCTGTGCACAATTTAGGATAATTGTGGCGTATTATGTTCATATTTTTCTGTATTTGTATTTTTGGCAATTTTCATGTTCCGTGCTAACTTACGCATGTCGCAGTAACTGCAAACGTCTTGAAATTTCGCTTGTATTCTAAAAGCCAAGTAACGAAAAAAGGAATTTTTACTACTTTTTAACACTAAAAGGCGATCACCAAATAAATTACAAATAACCCAACACTCGCATGGATCGAAAGTGACAACGTCTCGACCCGTCCTGGACTTGGAAAAGGCTTAGAGTGGGCCCGAGAAGTTGCCACTTTGATTCCAAACGTCGCCACTTTCTAAGAAATGTAAGGAAATCCTCGTACCCTGTACGGCTAGTCAACAAGTGAAACGCACTGAAAGACGTTGTGGAAGCCACCTCCCGCCACAACTTTAAGGCCAGGTTCGACGACGAATTCCAACGTCAGAATGATCCAACCATCAAGATACAACAAGGCTGGTGGGCGAGGCATAAAGAATTAGATCTCGCTAGGTAGACACTAATAGGTAAGCACTGATAGGTTGTTGTTGGTGGTAGTGATGGTAATTGTGGTGGTGGGGTGGTGGTGGCTCTGCTACCCCCCTACCCTGGCGGATACCCGTCCACCCTCTGAACATACCCTCTGGCACCGCTTCATCCTAGTTGAATGCATTCTCGGTCTCTAACACGGTCTTCAGCTGGTGTCAGTACACCCTGAGCTCTCGCTCCATTCTTGGCAGATTCTCTCCATCTTCAGATCTCTCTCTCTCTCTCTCTCTCTCTTAACGGTATAGGTTAAGTAATAATTGTAATCAAGAAGCAATAAGATGCTTATCTTAACATACTAAGAAGGTTAGGTGAGGTTGGTGTTTTCTACGAAGCTTTTCAAGGTAAACTAAAATATTCACAATCAATTAGTATGTCACATATGCACTTATTAAATAAGCCAATATTGACTAAAAGCAAGTGCGAGAACGGGTTGCAACCTGGCACAGGAGCGGGGCTGTAACTGACACTATCGATTACATCTATACTTCAATATATATTTGATCACACTAAGTGTCCCCACCAGGTGTAGTGTGAGTGACAGTTGAACTGGAGGGGGGGGGGGGCAGCCCTCAAGGGCTCTCCGACCTGGCCTGGTCCACAACCTCTCCCTAACCAATCCGTTTCCTTCAAGATGCCCCCTTAACAGTGCCAGGGGTCTTAGAAGAGCCTATTGAATCAGGGACAACAAGATTCATCAAGATTGCAATTTGTCCATTTATGAAACCCTCTTTCACCTCCTCTTTCCTCTCCTCTTTCGAAAGAAAGAAAGAAAGAAACCTCTTTCGTTAGGGAAGAACATCTTTCCTAAGTCATGATGTCTTAGTGTGTATTTATTAAACAGGTTACGATCTCTTAACGCACTACGAGGTTGGCTGTGACTATCATAACCTTGGGTAGAGGACCACCTCGTAGCTTTTCCGAGCTCGTAGACGGTTTAATAAATATACAGACCAAGCCGCCGTGATTGACCAAAGATGTACAGGTTTCGTAGATGGACACGCAAATGCTTGGTACATCCAGGTGTTGGACACTCCCCAGGGAAGACTGGCCACAGGCCAGGTTGCAAGCGGAGAACTCTCGTAACCGCCAAAGGTAAAGACAGGAAAGGGAAGGGAAGACAGCAAGAGGTCAGGATAAAGATTTGGGATGGGACGGGGAAGGAATGGCGCCCTGCCACTTGTGGACGGTCGGGGATTGAACGCCGACCTGCATGAAGCGAGACCGTTGCTCTACCGTCCAGCCCAATTCGATATGCAGTTTGCTAATGATCTATCTTATTTAATATGCAGTCCTCCATTTTGATCAATCCATCGCACAGTGTGGCCGGGTTTGATTGATCAAAGTCAGGGTGTCCAAGAGCTGGTTGCCCTTAATTACCCTTCAGTAATTGTGGGACAGTCTGGCAGTCACACAGTATTTTTTCCTTGCACGCTGAGCGTTGACCAATTGTGGTTAATATTTACGACTGTTAATGTTGGCAGTGTGTGTGTGTGTGTGTGTGTGTGTGTGTGTGTGTGTGTGTGTGTGTGTGTGTGTGTGTGTGTGTGTGTGTGTGTGTTTGGAGCATGAATGTTCTCTCGTAACACTATTGGGTCGACGGGCCTCACGGTGGAGGTCTGGTTTATGAAGGCAGTGACGGAGGCTGTTTGACCGACCCTCAATACTCACCCCCACCCCACTTACGGCACCCCCTCCCTCCCCCACCCACTAACATCGACCCCCCCCCCCCTCTTCCTACCTAATATCAACCCGTCTCCCACATTTCTGCGACCCCTTCCTCTCATTCCATCTATCATCATACTATCATGCAAGAGGAGCCACACATATATGGATCAGCCAATAAAATCAGCAGACTTCTAGATGTTACTACTGCTCGGCTTAGACTCGGTTACAAGTATCTCTGGGAATTCTCATTATCTGCTGATGTAGACCTGACCAAATGTAAACTGTGTCAACAAAATTATTCGCACACCCTCCGTCACTATGTGATGGAGTGCGAAAAGATACGTGAATTTAGAGACAATTCTATAACCAATGTTCCAGCGATGTGTAAATATTTAATTCAAAAAGATCTGCTGCCAGAAATTTTTGCCAAATATCCCCAGTTTACTAACTGTAGGTAGTAACTAAGTGACTATAACCTATTCACCGCTGCCCACTGGATGGGGGGCGGTGTGCCGACAAACATATCAATTGTGACACTAACTCTCCACATATGTCAGTTGCTTAATTTAGAACCTGTACTTGAGGTCGATCTCGAACCCATTGTTGATGTGACGACTTATATTGAATTTTGTAACTAGCTCATCAAGATTGTAACTTGCTTAGCTAAATGAATTGTGGGGTTCAGTCCCTGAGCCCATTATGTGCCTCTGTAACCCTTTCCACTACCACCCACAAGATGGGTATGGGGTGCATAATAAATGAACTAAACTAAACTAAACCTTCCTCCAACATCCACCCCCACCTCCCACCTGGCATCATGACCCTGTACCATCTCCCACACTTCCTGCAACTCTCTCAGACTCTTGGTTTCTTTGAGGACACGCTCTTTGACGCTCTGCCCCCCCCCCCAACTCTCTTGTCTTATCTCCTGAACGCACTACTACACGTTCATCTTCTTCACGTTCATCTCCTACCTCATCTTTTCTCTCACTCACCCCTTCATTATTTATTACCTCTCTTCCCATTTCTCTGCCTCACCTGCTTCAACCCTCACCACTCAAACAGTAGTGGCTGTTGATAGTGTTTCCTTGTGTCGTGTTGTCAAGACGAGACATTTTGGGCGTGTGCAGGTGATCTTTCCCGTGCGTCGGATGGCGGCTCTTCGGGTGAACTGTTCCTCCGTTCAGTCGGATTTTTTTGGGGGGGCGAGTTCTACCTTTTGCGTCAAGTATTATTATTATTAAGATCTTTATTGACAAAATTAATTACAATTTTGCCTAATCTGAGGATTTTGATAGTCTTATTAAAGTGAGGATAATGCTGGTATTCACTGTCACGCAGGACAGAGGGTCATACACAAGACAATAGGTCTAAACTGTAGGCTGAAGCACATATATATCAAGTAGATATTCTTAAGCATTTTGGACTTGGGTAGAGGAGGGGTGTGTGGCGAAAGTGTTAAGCCTGTATAACTAGCACATGGAAGGGATGCGAGAACAGGATAGGATTTAGGATTAGGTGGAAGAGCTGATGGAACGATACCCAGCCACTTCTGGACCATCGGGTATCGAACGCTGACCTACAAGAAGCGAGGCCGTCGCCATATCGATCAGTCCAAGGGCCAGATTCACGAAAGTACTTAACGCAAGCACTTACGAACCTGTACATCTTTTCTCAATCTTTGGCGGCTTTGTTTCCAATTATCAAACAGTTAATGAGCTCAGAAGCACCAGGAGGCTGTTTATAACAATAACAACAGTTGAATGGGAAGTTTTCATGCTCGTAAACTGTTTAATAAATGAACCTAAAGCCGTTAAAGATTGAGGAAAGATGTACACGTTCGTAAGTGCATGCGTAAGTGCTTTCGTGAATGTGGCCTCAAGTGCCTGGGGAAAGAAATTCGACGTTCTGAAGATCTTCACATCCTTTTCTGGTCTTGTGTATATGTTTGACTCTGAACCAATGGCTCTTGTTCACACACGGAATGCAGCAGTTTTTTGGTCGGAGAAAGCCATGTTCTGCGACAGTACAGCCATGTTAGTCTTTCCGGGATTTCTTATCGTTTTGCTGCAAAGGAACAAGAAAACACAAATCAAGGAGACATTGCACGGTGGAAGCCGAGTACCCAAATGAGCCACAGAGACATTAGAAAGAACTTTTTCAGTGTCAGAGTAGTTAGTAAATGGAATGCACTAGGAAGTGATGTGGTGGAGGCTGACTCCATACACAGTTTCAAATGTAGATATGATAGAGCCCAGTAGGCTCAGGAATCTGTACACCAGTTGATTGACGGTTGAGAGGCGGGACCAAAGAGCCAGAGCTCAACCCCCGCAAACACATGTGAGTACGTGGTACGTACGATACCACGTGAGTGGTGAGTGAGGTGGGTGAGGTGAGTACGATATTCTCTTGCCAGCCGCGCCTGTGCTCCACTTTGCTGAAGCCTCCAGCACGCCACAGTCCCAGGGGGAAGAATAAAATGCAAAGTATTACCGTTTAGGCTTTGGTCCGCAGGTTATAAGATTGGCCTTGCGGGCAGCAGTGTTGCCATATGGCCGCTCCTGCAACAATCCCTAGAGCAAAGCGTATTCGCAGGGTAATTCCCTGTTGTTTCCCCACGCGGACCTTCCTATTACAGCCTCAGACACCAGAAATATATAAAAAGAGAACAGTTACATGTAAATATGTAAGTACTGGTTGTCTGGAGTCAACAGGGGGGTGTGTGGTAAGTCTAAACCCAGCTGTGTCTGGGTAAAAGTGACAGGATGAACAACCCAGCGGGCTTTCTTCCTATTGGGGAGTGTTGTACATGCTGCTATGGCGGTGTGTCCACTCACTGGATGAGTGACGCTGCCCAATACTGTCACTATGGCGGTGTGTCCACTCACAGGATGAGTGACGCTGCATAATACTTCCACTATGACGGTGTGTCCACTCACAGGATGGGTGGCGCTGCCCAATACTGTCACTATGGCGGTGTGTCCACTCAAAAGATGAGTGACGCTGCCCAATACTGTCACTATGGCGGTGTGTCCACTCACAGGATGATTGGTGCTGCCCAATACTGTCACTATGGCGGTGTGTCCACTCAGGATGAGTGGCGCTGCCCAATACTGTCACTATGGCGGTGTGTCCACTCACAGGATGAGTGGCGCTGCCCAATACTGTCACTATGGCGGTGTGTCCACTCACAGGATGAGTGGCGCTGCCCAATAAACTCGCCCCTCGGGGCAAAATTTAAAAAAAAAATTAAACTGAAGTTTTGCCCATGGGCTCCGTTCACCCCCACACAAAAACACCTCTCAGATGTGAAATAGACGAGGGGTAGAAATCGCCTAAGCTACTCTACCCTTTTGAGACGTATTTTATTGTCTCAATAACCTTATTTGAACTTGAACTTCACTGTAGCACCTTGTCTGAGATGGTTTCTAAGACTCCTCCTCCTCCTCCCTTCCCGACTCTCATGAGACATTTTTCACATCAAATATGGATAACGTAGCCTGTTCTGACACTCCGTTACAAATGCAACTGTTTTACCCAGAAACGTACGAACGCAACCAACCCACTTATCGACGCCGTTGCAGAGAAAACGTATGTTTTTTATGCTATAAGTGTTACAGTAACTTCGCATTTTTAACGGATTGGTCGATTGCGTAACAAATGCGACGTATTGGGTACGAGGGCGGGTTGAACATCATTCACGCGACGAGTATGTGGTGCATAATAAATGACTGAAGTCCAAGGATGTATGCTGAAGTATAAATTAATAAATGTTTATTCAGGTAAAAGTACATACATACATACATACATACATACATACATACATACATACATACATACATACATACATACATACATACATACATACATACATGCATACATGCATACAGAATAACCACATGTGAAAAATAGAGAATGCTTAACGCGTTTTCGGCTAATTCGCCTTCATCAGAGCAAAGTAGAATGAATTTCACATGTGGTTATTCTGCATACTTGGATCAGTGTTTTTGTGATAATTGTTGCGCATATACATACATACATACACATACATACATACACACACACATATACATACAAGATGAGTTACAAACAGAATGTTGGATTTCTAGACAGGGCTAATACATACTATGCCTAAAACCACTAATACGCTCAGCGTTTCGGACAAAAGTATGTTTAGTGCAGTGGACCGTGGAAATCTGGTGTTACAAGATAACAGACCCAGGATGACCGGGGTCTCATCCCACTACCACATGCTACCCACCACAGGCTAGACAGCCGTATATATTTCAGCTGACATAGATGTTTTAGTGAGAGACTACTCCTTATATTATCGGTGCGGAGGCTAACGACTCTCCCCTTCCTTCTAAAGGCAAGTGATTATTGGTCATAATTGCCCAGTTAATCTTTTAACACCTCTTGAACATTTGCTTAAGGCTGCTATATTGCCGTCGATAAGCTGATAGAGGCATTTTAATTTGTATCTAAATATAGAGGGATTTTAGCTTGTGGGTATTTTGGTTTTGCGCTTTCCGCTTGATAGGGGGGGGGGAAGAATTTTTTTAGGCTTATCGAGGTTTCCCTCATGTCAGCGGGTCAAACTGACATTACACAAAACCAACCCATCCTCGACTCAAGTCCATTACATCCAGCGGTCAACCCCACAGACGCATTCATAAATTTTAACATGCTGTTCATCCAAAACGGGAATTTTCTCAAGTATAAATTAATATTATAATATATTAGCATATTGTGTATAAATAGGCATAGGTTAGGTTAGGTCAAGTGTTTAGGTTCTGTTGGCGATTATTTGTATTTGTAGTACGTGGGTGAAGCATTTACAGCGTTGTGGTTCGAACAAAATTCGTCAGTGAAGCACTTGTTCCGGATATGTTCGAACGTCAGCAGTTGTGAGTCGTGTGTAAACCGCTTTTCATTCATAAACAGGGGGTTTGGCGGGTGGATGGAATCACTTTTGGATCTTTGTTTGGAGGACGGGCTGCACGTTCGCCAACCCAACCTGCCGTACCTAACATAGCCTAACCTAAGCTTTGTCGAATAGTTTTTTTGCCTGAAACGCAATGCGTATTAGTGGCTTTAGGTATTGTATGTACTAGCTCTATCTTTAAATCCAACATTATGGTTGCAAGTCATCTTCAATGTATGTACCTTTACCTGAATAAAAATAATCTGGGGCCAGATTCACGAAAGCACTTACGAACGTGTACATCTTTCCTCAATCTTTGACGGCTTTGTTTACATTTCTTACAGTTTACAAGCATGAAAACTTCCCAATCATCTGTTGTTATTGTTATAAACAGCCTCCTGGGGATTCGGAGCTCATTAACTGTTTAATAATTGGAAACAGCCGCCAAAGATTGAGAAAAGATGTACAGGTTCGTAAGTGTATGCGTAAGTGCTTTCGTGAATCTGGCCCCTAGTCTTACGTATGATTTGATCATACGACTGACATTTCTCAAGATAAAACTCGCAATAGTTGCCAAATTCGCGAGGCTTCAAAGGCAAGATAATTTGAGACGAAAGTTCTCAGCTCGTATGAGTTTCCGGAGTACATCCACGTCCCCACCGGCCAGTTTCTGTAGTAGCATTTGCCGTTTTATGCATAGGGAGGGAATGGGGGTCGACTCCGACGCGCTTATGACGATCCCCAACCAGCCACCACTCACCCTGCAAAATTTGGAGTTCGGAGTCCCCCTAAAAGTCCGGACTCCAACCTCGAACAAAAATAAGAGTCAAACAATATTTTATATATATAGATTTGCTATCGAGTTGTAGTAAATTTTTACATAGTTTAAAAGTATTAATTTGCTTAAATTTTCACAGATACTAATTTCAGACCAGAGAAGTAAACGAACCTTAAAATAAAGACGTTGTTATATTTAACATCATTACAATGTGGTAATTTTAGTTAATGTGGTTTAGAGGGACACATTGTAACATTGTCTCGTGTCTCCTTCCTCAGGTACCAGTTCTTCCTGCAGGTGAAACAGGACATCCTGCAGGGCCGCCTCCCCATCTCTCAGGACCTGGCCGCCGAGCTCGGCTCTTACGCCGTCCAGTGTAAGTACACCATTTATTATTGTGTTGTATTCTATTGTATAATTCTCTTGTATAAATTCTCATTTTTAGAATATTATCATTAGCTTTCCTGGGCCTTCGGTTCCAACTTTCATTGTGTATCGATTTATTTAAAAAATGTTGGACTTAAGCAGCCGTAAGTTAGTGGTGGGCTGCGATCACTGTTCTGGTGGTGTTGAATATAATGTTGAGAATTTATATAGTATTATTACAGGATTTTTGTAATATTTGAAGGTCTTAATTCCTTCATCTCTTGTAACCCCTTCTGCTGTTCCTAAGGAATTTTTTAGATTTGACTGCGGAGGTAAGACGGTGGTCAACGTCCTGGAATGTATTCCCATGTAGGACAGAAACGGTTGGGCACGTATCCTTTCACCTGATGCCTTTCTTCACCTGGCGGTAAATGGGTGCTCGCCGGAGTTAGGGAAGTGTTATGGGTTGGGTCCTGGGGATGGTCTGGTTGAGGGGGGGGGGGGGGGGGGACCTGTAATAGCCTTAATACATTCTTCCTGTTCCCGACAGCAGTAATTATTATTAATAAAAATAATAATAATAATATTTAGGATTCGTTTTAACTGATATACAAAGTCTTGGCATTAACGCCTTTGTTATGTTATATATATATATATATATATATATATATATATATATATATATATATATATATATATATATATATATATATGTCGTACCTAGTAGCCAGAACGCACTTCTCAGCCTACTATGCAAGGCCCGATTTGCCTAATAAGCCAAATTTTCCTGAATTAATATATTTTCTCTAATTTTTTTCTTATGAAATGAAAAAGCTACCCATTTCATTATGTATGAGGTCAATTTTTTTTTATTGGAGGTAAAATTAACGTAGATATATGACCGAACCTAACCAACCCTACCTAACCTGACCTAACCTATCTTTATTGGTTAGGTTAGGTTAGGTAGCCAAAAAAGTTAGGTTAGGTTAGGTTAGGTAGGTTAGGTTGATGAAAAACAATTAATTCATGAAAACTCGGCTTATTAGGCAAACCAGGCCTTGCATAGTAGGCTGAGAAGTGCGTTCTGGCTACTAGGTACGACATTCTGCTGATATATACAGATACATTCTGCTGATTCTGCGGATATATATATATATATATATATATATAGATATATATATATATATATATATATATATATATAGATATATATATATATATATATATATATATATATATATATATATATATATATATAGATATATATATATATATATATATATATATATATATATATATATATATATTATATATATATACAGGTAATTATAAGGTAAGATAGATTTCGCAGCCTCCTGCTGAACAGTGTCTGACCTCGGGAAGGCTTCCCCAAGAACTATAAGGTACTGAAGAGGGATGGAAATATCAAGGGAAAGCGCCAAGCCGTTACAACTATATAGCACTTGAAAGGGGTCAGGAAAAGGATTTGGGATGGGACGTTGTGGTGTGGGTGATGGGTTGTGTGTGGTGGTGGTGTGGGTGATGGGTTGTGTGTGGTGGTGGTGTGGGTAATGGGTTGTGTGGTGGTGGTGGTGTGGGTGATGGGTTGTGTGTGGTGGTGGTGTGGGTGATGGGTTGTGTGTGGTGGTGGTGTGGGTGATGGGTTGTGTGGTGGTGGTGTGGGTGATGGGTTGTGTGTGGTGGTGGTGTGGGTGATGGGTTGTGTGTGTGGTGGTGTGGGTGATGGGTTGTGTGTGTTGTGGTGTGGGTGATGGGTTGTGTGTGTGGTGGTGTGGGTGATGGGTTGTGTGTGTGGTGGTGTGGGTGATGGGTTGTGTGTGGTGGTGTGTGTGGAGGATGGGTTGTGTGTGTGGTGGTGTGGATGGGTGGGTTGTGTGTGTGTGGTGTGGTAAGGATGGGTTGTGTGTGTGGTGGTGTGGGTGATGGGTTGTGTGTGTGGTGTGTGTAAGGATGGGTGTGTGTGTGGTAGTGTGGGAGGATGGGTTGTGTGTGTGGTAAGTGTGGGTGTGTGGCTTGTGTGTGTGGTGTGTGTGGGTGATGGGTTGTGTGTGTGGGTATGTGTGTAAGGATGGGTTGTGTGTGTGGTGGTGTGGGAGGATGGGTTGTGTGTGTGTGGTGTGGGGAGGATGGGTTGTGTGTGTGGTGGTGTGGGTGATGGGTTGTGTGTGTGGTAGTGTGGGTGATGGGTTGTGTGTGTGGTGTGTGGGTGATGGGTTGTGTGTGTGTGTGGGAGGATGGGTGTGTGTGTGGTGTGTGTGTAAGGGTGGGTTGTGTGTGTGTGTAAGGATGTGTGTGTGTGTGTGTGGTGGTGTGGGTGATGGGTTGTGTGTGTGGTGGTGTGGGTGATGGGTTGTGTGTGTGGTGGTGTGGGTGATGGGTTGTGTGTGGTGGTGTGGGTGATGGGTTGTGTGTGTGTGGTGTGGGTGATGGGTTGTGTGTGTGGTGGTGTGGGGATGGGTGGGTGTGTGTGGTGGTGTGGATGGGTGGGTGTGTGTGTGTGTGGTGGGTTGTGTGTGTGGTGGATGTGGGTGTGGGTGTGTGTGTGTGGTGGTGTGGGAGGATGGTTGTGTGTGTGTGGTGGTGTGGGTGGTGGGTTGTGTGTGTGGTGGTGTGTGTGATGGGTTGTGTGTGTGGTGGTGTGGGGATGGGTGTTGTGTGTGTGGTGGTGTGGGTGAGGATGGGTTGTGTGTGTGGTAAGGATGGGTGGTGGGTTGTGTGTGTGGTGGTGTGGGTAAGGATGGGTGTGTGTGTGGTGTGTGGGTGATGGGTTGTGTGTGTGGTAAGTGTGGGTGTGGGTTGTGTGGTGGTAGTGTGGGTGATGGCTGGTGTGTGTGTGGTGGATGTGTTGTGTGTGGGTTGTGTGTGTGGAGTGTGTGGTAAGGATGGGTTGTGTGTGTGGTGGTGTGAGTGATGGGTTGTGTGTGTGGTGGTGTGGGAGGATGGGTTGTGTGTGGTGGTGTGTGGGATGGGTTGTGTGTGTGTGGTATGTGTGGGTGTGGGGTGTGTGTGTGGTGGTGTGGGTGATGGGTTGTGTGTGTGGTGGTGTGGGTGATGGGTTGTGTGTGTGGTGGTGTGGGTGATGGGTTGTGTGTGTGGTGGTGTGGGTGATGGGTTGTGTGTGTGGTGGTGTGGGTGTGTGGGTTGTGTGGTGGTGGTGTGGGTGAGGGGGTTGTGTGTGTGGTGGTGTGGGAGGATGGGTTGTGTGTGTGGTGGTGTGGGGATGGGTTGTGTGTGTGGTGGTGTGGGTGATGGGGTAAGTGTGTGTGGTGGTGTGGGTGAGGGTGGGTGTGTGTGGTGGTGGGTAAGGATGGGTGTGTGTGTGGTGGTGTGGGGATGGGTTGTGTGTGTGGTGGTGTGGGTGTGTGGGTTGTGTGTGTGGTGGTGTGGGTGATGGGCTTGTGTGTGTGGTAGTGTGGGTGGTGGGTTGTGTGTGTGGTGTGTGGGAGGATGGGTTGTGTGTGGTGGTGGTGGGTTGTGTGTGGGTTGTGTGTGGTGGTGTGGGAGGATGGGTTGTGTGTGGTGGTGTGGGAGGATGGGTTGTGTGTGTGGTAGTGTGTGAGGGTGGGTTGTGTGTGGTGGTGTGGGTGATGGGTTGTGTGTGTGGTGGTGTGGGTGATGGGTTGTGTGTGTGTGTGAGGGTGGGTGTGTGTGTGGTGTGTAAGGATGGCTTGTGTGTGGTGGTGTGTGTGGGTGATGGGTGTGTGTGTGTGGTGGTGAGGGTGATGTGTGTGTGTGTAAGGATGGCTTGTGTGTGTGGTAGTGTGGGTGATGGCTTGTGTGTGGTGGTGTGGGTGATGGGTTGTGTGTGGTGGTGTGGGTGATGGGTTGTGTGGTGGTGGTGTGGGTGATGGGTTGTGTGGTGGTGGTAAGGGTGTTGTGCTTGTGTGTGTGCTGATGTGGGTGTGTGGGTGGTGTGGGTGATGGGTGTGTGTGGTGGTGTGGGGAGGATGGGTTGTGTGTGGGTGATGGATGAGTGTGTGTGTGGTGGTGTGTAAGGATGGGTTGTGTGTGTGTGGTGTGGGGTGATGGGTTGTGTGTGTGGTGGTGTGTAAGGATGGGTTGTGTGTGGTGGGTGTGGGTGATGGGTTGTGTGGTGGTGGTGTGGGTGATGGCTTGTGTGTGTGCTGATGTGGGTGATGGGTTGTGTGTGTGGTGGTGTGGGTGATGGCTTGTGTGTGTGGTGGTGTGGGTGATGGGTGGTGTGGGTGATGGCTTGTGTGTGTGGTGGTGTGGGTGATGGCTTGTGTGTGTGGGGAGGGTGGGTTGTGTGTGTGGTGTGGGTGATGGCTTGTGTGTGTGGTGGTGTGGGGGTTGGTGTGGGTTGTGTGTGGTTGTGTGTGTGGGTGATGGGTTGTGTGTGTGTGGTGTGGGGATGGGTTGTGTGTGGTGGTGTGGGAGGATGGGTTGTGTGGTGGTGGTGTGGGTGTGTGGGCTTGTGTGTGTTGTGTGATGTGGGTGGTGATGGGTGTGTGTGGTGGTGGGGGTGATGGGTGTGTGTGGGGGTGAGGATGGCTTGTGTGTGTGGTGGGGATGGGTGTTGGGTGGTGTGTAAGGATGGGTTGTGTGTGTGGGGTGTGGGTGATGGGTTGTGTGTGGTGGTGTGGGTGATGGGTTGTGTGTGGTGGTGTGTAAGGATGGGTTGTGTGTGGTGGTGTGGGAGGATGGGTTGTGTGGGTGTTAATTCTATTGGTGCGCAGATAAAGTATCGAGATTGTCCCGCGCTCAGTTCAGAGCGCCCGCGCTAAGTCACCCTTAAATCAGGCTCTAGTGTCCCCAGTTGAATAAAAAAAAAACTCCCTCTAGGGTTCTAGAATGTAGACCATTCAACTAGCCAGCATCGGCCGGTAGCCTCGCCGGGTCCACAGCGGCGATATGTTTCATTTCTACGACAGACTTGGACACTCATTTCTACAATGTTAAGTAGTATATATGTATATATTTTCGTCTCCTACATAGGGTTACAGATCTGTTCTGCGATATAAGGTATTG